TATATCATAATTTAGAAGTAATAGACTATTTTCTGTCCTGTTTTTACCCCCCTCATCATGTGCACAGGCAAGTGTCATCGCCAACTACTGGCCTGGCATAAATAATACAGCGTTTTTAGCTGTTCACAGATCCGTTTTGACAGCACAGTCATCTGTATGCAAAACTTTTCAAATACACAAAGGAATAACCTTTCTATTTTTAGTACAATCTTTGTTGTACAAACTTACCCTAAAAAGCATCCTGGGTTCTCGTCTTTGCTGGCAGTGTGGTTAGCGTTTAGGTTTTCTCCTGACTTTATATTTGTTTTCTATGTGTTGTGTTTGACACATGACAGTTTCATGTTTTTTGATGACTTTAGTGTTGTTCTGAAGTGCAGGGCAGTAATGAAGAATGAGTGTGACTGGTAATCAGATGAAGAATCTCACCTGCCCACAGAAAACACGGTCTGCTCTCCCAGCCGGGCTCTGCTTCGAGACACTCGGCTCCTGCGGCGTGTTTTTAACACGTGACTCTGCATACAGTGAACACACGAGCTGATCTCGCCTCCCAGATGAACGGTGTGATGGTGAAGGGGAAGACCACCGACGCTATCTTTGTGACGCAAGCTGCTGAGAAGACAGAGCATTAGAGAAATAACTTCAGCCTCTACACCTCTATTACATCTGCACCCATTCAGAGATCAGTGTGCACACTAATTCACACATTTACATGCCTTTGCTTGTCCGACATCACTGTGGGGGTATACAGGACCAATGCTAAACTCAGTACTCAATACATTCTACTTCAATATATTACAACTAAAATATTTGCAAACGAACAGGAAGATCATAAATAATCACAGCTTGTGTCATATCAAACTACATATATGCAGACCTAACAAAACATTTGAAACAAAACATGTATTGGTGTTTCTCTGTTTATCAGACAAAACACATATTTAAAGAGTCACAAAAATAATGATCATACCGTGGATCGAGATGTTCGCAAACATTTTGGCCAACCAGCATCTCTTTGAAAGCCTCCATATTGGCTATAACACAAAAATAACAGCATTTTAAACCACGGAAATCATTTAAATGCAGAACAGAACAGAACAGGACAGAGTGAATGATCTGTACCTTCATTCTCAATGATGCATTTCAGGATTTGTTCCACTGTGTCTTGACTGTCTTCTGATTCATCTGAGGGGGAAAAAAAACAGTTTTCTAATTTGATATAATTTTAATTATGGTAATGATCTTGGTGCAAACAGTTTCTTCCACTATTTATGTAAATAGCATTGTAATTACAGCCACTGCCATGTTTTATTAAAGTCAAAAAGTGTTGCAATGTTCTGTGTATCAGTACTTGAGAGAGTGAACCTCATTTTGTGCACTGCAAGGTGGGAAATCATTAAAGGGTTAGTTCACCCAAAAATGAAAATTAGCTTCCGTGTAGGACCGTTGGCGCAAGCTACATTAAAGTGATTATTACGTTTTGAATATGGTTATTTTTCTTACAAAAAGTATCGATTCGCTACAGAAGGCCTTTGTTCACCCGCCGGAGCCGTGTGAGACACTTTTTTATGGATGGGCGCTTTTTATTTAACTTCTTTTGGACTGATGCATGCAACACACGCTGAGTGGCATTAAACAGCTTGAAAGATCAAAGACAATTTTTAATATAACTCTGACTGGATTCGTCTGAAAGAAGAAAGTCATACACACCTAGGATGCCTCAGGGGTGAGTAATTTATGGGCAAATTTTCATTTTTGGGTGAACTAACCCTTTAAATAAGTGTTATTCTAATATCCCAGTTATCCATAAATGTCTGCTCAGCAATATGGTGGGAAAAAACTTGAAAGGTCAATGGAAAAACAGTGCTTATTTTTGGATCCTATGACTAGATTATACAAGCACATAATAAAAAAACAAAAAATGATTCTGAGGGATTTCTTGGTATTATGCCAAGGAATCTGAAGACAAATAAAAACCTCCATGGGATACAGATGCAGAATATAAAAAGCTAAGAAACTATGATCTTGTTTTCTTCAATCTCTCAACATTAGAGACGTGTGTGCCTCAGCAGTTTTAGGGACCTTTGAAAAAATCTCACAACGTTCCCCTCAAATTTAACCTGCGGACAGAGGTGGAAAGTCCAGGTTCAGAAAGTAAAAGTCCTCCTCAGTGTTTTGTTCCAATCACTTGGATTTGCTAATTAGCACAGTTTTTCAGCCAGGAGGCAGAAGTAATTAGTGAAATCAGCGGGCTGAGTTCATGAGTGGAATAAACATATGGCAGGACTTTTACTTTCTGACCCCTGGAGTTTCCACCTCTGCCTGCTGACATGGGCATTAAGTGCATGTGTCAATCTGTAAACTACTGTAAATTTGGATTTGTAGTTTAATGTAATTCTCTTTAGACACGTATGGATTTCATTTTTTTAAACAAAGGTTGAAATGACTTGCCATCTTGCTCTGCCCCCAGTTTGTCTTCACGGTTTTCTTCATCCTCCTCCAGCTCGCAGCGGTAGCCCTTCTTCTTCAGACAGTGACAGATCAGGAATCCCAGAAGGCCCGTGATGAAGAAGAGAAACACCAGCAGGAAGATCATGTATGCTGGAGGTGGATCGCCCACATCGAGCGTCTCCTGGTCTGTCATCACTGTCTTCTTCACACAGCCGGCTGCTGCAAATGGGGCAGAAGGATGCCAGTCACATTTATACAGCAGCTAATGAGCACATGACCTAAAGCTGCTTTCTCTCCAGCGCTGAGCAGCTTGTCTCTGTCACGCCATCGGACTCTCTTGGCTGGGACAGATAATCAGTCACTGAGCTCCATCAGGGTATATCTCCTGTAAACGCATGGCGTTATCTTTCTGTGCAGGCGCGTGTTGAGAGGATCTCGACCCACACCCTCTGACCGACTCTCACACACACACACACACACACACGCTCATACGCACACACACACACACACACACACACACACGCGCTCATACGCACACGCACACACACACACACACACACACACGCTCATACGCACACGCACACACACACACACACACACACACGCTCATACGCACACGCACACACACACACACACACACACACGCTCATACGCACACGCACACACACACACACACACACACACGCTCATACGCACACACACACACACACATGCTCACAAGCACGCTCACACGCACGCACGCTCACACACACGCATTTTCCAATTCCCCTAGAGTTAAACAGTTACCGTTTTCTAATCCATTCAGCCGATCTCCGGGTCTGGGGGTAGCACTTTTAGCTGTAGCTTAGCATAGATCATTGAATCTGATTAGACCGTTAGCAT